TTTATTTATTTATTTATTTATTAGTGTCTTGTAATCTCAGCAACTCTGGAAGCTGAGGCAGGAGGATTAAAAGTTTGAGGTCAGTCTCAGCAATGTATTGGGGCCCTAAGCAACTTAGTGAGACCCTGTTTCAAAATAAAAACTAAAAATTAGGGCTAGGGATGTGTGTCAGTGGCCAAATGCCCCTGGGTGCAATCCCCCAGTACTCCTCGCCCCCAATTAGTGTCTTATGGATATAAATAATGATGGGATTCACTGTGGTATATTCGTATATGTACATAGAAAGATTAGACCAGATTGATTCCACTGTTCTTCCCTTATCCTGTCCCTCCCTCCACCCCCTCAATAACCTTTCTTCACTGATGTTCTATTTTGATGGAATCCACCTTGTTTTTCTTTTATTTCTTTCCTTATTTTGAACCAGCTTCCATATACCAGAGAAAACATGTGACTTTTTACTTTCTGGACTTTTCTTATTTCACTTAGTATGATGATAGTCTCCATTTCTATCCCACTTACTGGAAAATACCATAATTTCATTCTTTATGACTAATACTCCATTGTGTGTGTGTGTGTGTGTGTGTGTGTGTGTACCACATTTTATTTATCCATTCATTTGTCAAAGGGCACCTAGGTTGGTTTCATAGCTTCAAACTTGTGAATTGTGCTACTATGAACATTGATGTAGCTACATTTCTATAGTATGCTGATTTACATCTTTTGGATACATACCAAGGAGTGAAATTTCTGGGTCATATGGTGGTTCCATTACTAGTTTTTTGAGGAATCTCCATACTGCTTTCCAGAGTGGTTGCACAAATTTTCAGTCCTCCCCACATCCTTACCAATACCTGTTATTTGTATTTTTGATAATTGGCATTCTGACTGAAGTGAGAGGAAATCTCAATGTAGTTTTGCTTTGTGTTTTCCTGATTGCTAGACACGTTGAACATTTTTTCATGTATTTGTGGATGATCTATCTACTGGTAGATACGTGTGTTTAAATCACCCAGTGTTATTGTATTGCAATCTATTTGATTCTTAATATTGAGAAGGGTTTGTTATGTATGTAGATGCAGCATTGTTTG